ATACTAAAGGGTGCCCCATTATTTGCCTCATAGCTTCCTTCCTTCATCTTAAAAAGGCAGAAATAGCTTAAGTTTCTCTTAATTTTTAACTTCCTCTTTTTTTGATGTGACAGATTTGTGAACTATTTTCTGCTTTCCAATGCTGCCTTTAAAGGCTTGTGCTAATTGTACTGGGCTCACCTATGCAATACAGTGTAATCTTTATATTTTAAGAAAAGCTGATCTCTACCCTTAATTCTATCAGCACTCCATGATCACTTACTTTCTTCATTTTCACCTGTTGTGGACTTCTGCAGATGCCTTGAGTTTACTGGCTCTTAGGGGTGTATTATCACCCCATGTGGCATAGTTTCATTTAAAATGATGTAATTGTATTATTTTTTCAAAAAATCAAAGAAATAATTTCAGATATATGTAGATTAACATGAATTGCTAAACGGCCTTATTAATAAAAAAAAAACCTTGGAGCCAGATATTGGGGTGAAAGATGAAAGATCAGAGGAACAGAACCATCCAGCCACAAGTTCTTACCACTAGGAAATCCTTAGCCCAAGAGAACTACTTCCTGTATTCTCACGCCTTATATACCTTTTTGTGCCCTGCCATCTTACTTCCTCTCTCTGCCCAGCTATATCACTTCCTCTTTCTGCTCAGCTCTATCACTTCCTGCCTGTCTGTACAGACCTCCAGACCTCTATGTTTACTAGTGCTGGGATTAAATACGTGTGCTTTCACACCTGGCTCTTTTCCCAGTGTGGCCTTGAACTCACAGAGATCCTGATGAATCTCTGCCTTCCTAATACTAGGATTAAAGGTGTGTGCTACCAATGCCTGACTTCTATGTTTAATATAGTGGCTGACTTTTTCCTTTTATCCCCAGGCAAGCTTCATTTGTTAGAGCACAAATAAAATATCACCACATGTATATATGCACACACATATATTACATATTTTAAGTAAATATAAAATAATATCTCCCTATGACTCTTTAAAACATCCTTACTGTTACTTGTCTCTTTTTCCCAATCTCTAAAACATCCTTACTGTTACTTATCTTTTTTTTTCCCAATGTACAAGTTTCCCCACAGGTTAAAGTCCCTGCCCAGTTTTTCTCATTTCCCCTTTCATAGCACCGTGTCCTACTATGCCAATCTATGGAGCTTCTTCTTTCCTACTGCACCATTGTTCCTTTCTACTTTCTGGCTTCTGTTGTTGCTCTAGGTTATATACTCAAATCTAAAGATTGAGAGCGAGGCTCTATAAATAAAATAGAATGTGGAGTTTTGTTTTCTAGATCTGGGTTAACTCAGTACAGTATTTTCTTAGTTCTATATATTCACTTGAAAATTTCCTGATTTCATTTTTCTGTACAACTAGATAGTGTTCTTTTATGTATGTGTACCACATTTTGATTATCTATTCATCAGCTGAAAAACATTTAAGTTGTTTCCATTTCAGAGCTATTAAGAAAAGAGTGGCAATGAACATGACTAGGCAAGTATCTACATAGTATAACAAGTCCTTTGGGTATTTGCGTAGGGTATTAGCTGGATTATGTGATACATCTACTTTTAGCCCTTTTAAAGGTTCTCCACACCAATATCATAGTGGCTGTACCAGTTTGCAATCCTACCAACAGTGAATGAGGATTCCCCTTTCTCCGAATTCTCAGCATGTGCTGTCAGTTGTTTTCTTTTTAAATAATATTTTCATTAATTCAAAATTGATTTTGATCATATTTCATCGCTTCCTTTAATCCATCTACCCTATCTCGTATTTTGACTTTTTAAATTGGAAAATTGAAAACATTACCATGAAGAGCTATTATTGACAACTATGTATCAATTCCTGTTGTTTGATTGCTTTAGTATAACTAAATCATTTTTCTGATCTTTTATTTATTTCAAAATTTTTATTTTTAATACCAACCAAAGATCCCCCTCTCATCCCTCCTTCTGCTCCTTCCCCAACCTCTCCCCCCCAACACACTCCCATCTCCAAAAGAGTCATGGGGAGTCAGCAAAGCCTGGTACGTTCAGTTGAGGCAAGACCAAGCCCCTCAAGCGGGGGCTGCATCAAGGATGAGCAAGGAGCCAGCTCATGCACCAGGGATAAATCCTTATCCAACGGCCAATGGGCCCCTCAAACAGACCAAGCTACACAGTTGTCTCCTGTATGCAGAAGGCCTAGTCCAGTCCCATAGAGGCTCCACAGCTGTTGGTCTAAAGTTTGTGAGTTCCTATGACTGGAATCCCTGAGCTCTGCCTGGTGCTTGACTGTGGATCTCTGCATCTGCTTCCATCAGTTACTGGATGAAAACTCTATGATGACATTTAGGATATTCACCAATCTGATTACCAGGGTAGGACAGTTCAGGCACCAGCTGCACTATTGCTAGTAGTCTAATCTGGAGTCCTTCTTGTGAATTTCTGGGAATTTCCCTAGCATCAGGTTTCTCACTTACCCCACAATGTCTCCCTCTATCAAGATATCTCTTTCATTGCCCTCCCCTCCCACTCCATCCCTCGCCCAGCATGACCATCCCATTCCTTCATGTTCTCAAACCCCATCACCTCCACTTTATTTCTCCCCCATCTCCCATTTACTCATGGAGATCTCCTCAGTTTCCCTTCCCAAGGTGATGTCTGTGTCCTTCATAGGGTCCTCCTTGTTTCCTAGCTTCTCTAGAGCTCTGGGTTGTAGTCTGGTTATCCTTTGCTTTACTTCTAGTATCCACTTTTGAGTGGTACATACTATGTTTGTTCTTCTGAGTCTGGGTTACCTCACCCAGGATGATATTTTTTAGTTCCGTCCATTTGCCTACAAATTTCAGGATGTCATTGTTTTATACAGCTGAGTAATACTCCATTGTGAATATGTATCATATTTTCTTTATCCATTCTTTGGTTGAGTGGCTTCTAGGTTGTTATGATTTTAAACAATGCCATTTGAACTTGAATGACTTTAGGAGGATGGAAGAACACAGATGATATCAGGTGTATTAAGATAATAGTTATTCCAGGTGGTGGTGATGCACACCTTTAATCCTGGCAGAGGCAGGATGATCTCTGTGAGTTCCATGACAGCCTGGTCTACAAAGTGAGTTCCAGAACAACTAGGACTACACAGAGAAACCCTGTTTTAGAAACGCTCTCCTAAAATAATAGTTATTAAGGGTATGAATTAAAAGGAAACAAGTATAGGATTAGTAGTTAGTATTAGATCAATGGCAAAAAAGACAAGATAAAAGTAAACAGAAGACAAACAATAAATATGAAAGGAGGAAATAAGATAGTGTCATGTAAAAGGAGAATAGTGTCTTGTCTGCATCTGAACAGTCATTTATTCTCACTTTTTCAGTGCTTTGACCAATTCTGGCTCTCTACATTAATAACCAACCACCCACTGCAAAAAGAGGCTTCTCTGAGTAAGGCTGAGAGCAGCACTAGTCTATAGACATAAACATAAATATTTAGAAAGTAGTTTAATTATGTGTAGATTAGATAAATCAGATTTCTGCCTATGACCTATGGCATCCTCAGGCATAGGCATTTGTTTTTTGTTTTTGTTTTTCAAGACAGGGTTTCTCTGTGTAACAGCCCTGGCTGTCCTGGAACTCACTTTGTAGACAGACTGACCTCAAACTCAGAAAGATCCCCCTGCCTCTACCCCTCGAGTGCTGGGATCAAAGGTGTGCGCCACCACTGCCTGGCCAGGCATAGGCTTTTGATCAATTTTATAGTAGCAGAAATTAATTAAGGAAGTACAGGTGGAAGGAAATACATGCTAATGCTTGACATCTAGAAAATTCATATTGATGGAAAATTTCATTATGACATCTGTAGAGGAGAAGAGTAGTTTCCTAAGTTTCTAGTACATTCTTTTTCATATTGCAAACACCTTTGAAAGATAGAAAAATATGCTCCAATCATATCATATTTTTTCAATGTGCTTATATAGATTAAACTTATTTGTATGAAATAGTGCTTAAATATTTTGAAATGTATAAGATGAATTTTAAAAGTGACAGTATGATATTAAATTGGACTGCTGAAAGTGAAAATTTGAATGTGTCACATAATAGATGAAATGTTTAGTCAGTTCAATAATTGAAGATATTTGTACATGATTATTTGGCTTCATAGCAATCATGCAATTATGAACTGCATATAATTGATGTTGGACCAAGGACCAAATGCCTCATAAACTTCTTTCTTAAATAATAAAAGATCCCTCATCCCCAGACTTTCAAAGACTGAAAGGGAAATTCTTTTTAAACAGATCATCTCAGCACTTAATAAAATACTTATTATTCCTTGGACATTATGTATGGAAATTAGAGTTATGTTTCCTAAAGTGGAGGCCATGTGGAGCCATTACTTTAACTCTCTGCTTATTTTTGATAGCTGTTTGATGAGGCTCTGGATAAAAATATGATGAATTACAGTGTGTGTATACATGTTAATACAAATCACTTTTATTTGATACATTTAAGTACCCAAACCCAATTAAGATATTGGATATTTAAATTAGTCTGTGGATATTTAAATTTCAATACTTATAATATTCTACACAGAATTACTAGTGCTTTAAAAATAAATGGAAATTAAGTATCCCCTTTCCTATATCTTAAATATGTACCAAATCTATCTAAGTATAAAATAGTGTTGTATAGCCTATCCCCTCAGCAGATTATGCATTATCAGGTTATGAATTATATATACTAAACCAGTATAAGAAATAGTAAGTATTAATTGTAGTTTAATTTTTGTCATATTCTAAAACATTATTGCATTCATTCTCTTTTTTTGATGACTGCCATGGGTGATAGGACTATTAATAGAAAAATGTCTAAAGAATGAAAAGTGCTTGATGATAATTTTGCATCTTTCATATATTATTTTGGCTAAATGATGTTGATATTGGACCTATTCCATTTTTATAATGTTGTAGAAAATACTTCTTCATTTCTTGCACCCAAACTCCCACTTTAATTTCAGAATATCAAAAAGATGCCTACCAGATTTGGAAAAGAAAATGAACAACTTGAGCATGCTATTGATCGTGTTCTTGCCACAATATCGGAAAGAAGACTGGCACGTAGTCTACATGGCACTAATGAACAGCCACCTCATAACGTTCTTACAGCTACCCTTGAACTGGTTAACACTGTCAACATGATATTAAACATTCTGGAAAGGTAATTCCTAATATCTGATATTTAAACCCATGGCACAGTTGTATTTTCCCCTTCATTTCTTCTCAGGAATCTGAAGTGTGAAATGAATTGTATTTCCATGCTTTTTTCAAATATGTTTACAGACATGTTATTGATGCCATGATTATCTCCCTAGGATGTACAAGATAGTTACATGGTTCCCTTTAAATCAAGAAATTTTTTACCATCTGACTTTTACAATTCATTCAATAAAAATCATATTTTTTTTAAAATTTATTTTGCAATACAATTCAGTTCTACATATCAGCCGCGGATTCCCTTGTTCTCCCCCCTCCCGTCCCCCTCACCTTCCCCCCGACCCCCCCCCCCCATTCCCATCTCCTCCAGGGCAAAGCCTTCCCCACAGACTGAGGTCAGGTTAAACGAGAATTCTGCCGGGTGGTGGTGGCACATGCCTTTAATCCCAGCACTCGGGAGGCAGAGACAAGTGTATTCTCTGTGAGTTCGAGGTCAGCCTGGTCTACAGAGTGAGATCCAGGACAGGCATCAAAACAACACAGAGAAACCCTGTCTCAAAAAACCAAAATAAATGAATAAATAAATGAGGATTTCCCTTGAGTTCTCTTTATAGATTAAGTTACACCAAACTAATATGTGATCATATCTGGCATTTTTACAGCAAAAAAATTCTTTGTGTATTAATTAAATTATGAACTTTTAGTTAACGAGTTAGTCCTGTTTCTAAAAGCCTGTGTTAATAAGAAAAGATTAGTGAAATAAAACTAATGATTCATAATTTTGTTTTGTTAGTAACATTTAGTTAACAATATTAGTGTGTAGATTTCTATGCTTTATGTTTTGACCAACAACTATAATCAATTATCTGTTCTATGTACAAATGAGTCATCTGGCAAATTCCTATGCCATTTGCTTCCACTAAGTATTATATTTTTCAGGTAAAAAAAGAAGGGAGAGAGATAGAAAAAAGATTTTGTGTTTTGATTAACAAAAAACTACACCTTTATATTACATGTCCCCTTGCTGAATAATTTCTCTTTTGCAACTAATATTTGATTGAAAAACAAATTTATTCCCATACATAAGTAATGAAGACAATATTTTACCAGTGGTTCAAGGATATTTTAAAAATATCATAGAAAATTTGACAATCTCAGCAGTTCCGTTACTCTCTTTACGTTTGACCTTATTATAAGCAACTATCTACAAAACAACTGAAGGAAAGCAAACACAGGAGGCGTACTCAAAAGTAAATATTCTGCAATAGGCTGAATTTAGAGAGAGAATTATATGGACCATAAAGTAAAGATAGCCATAAAATGGAGTGAAATAAAAAGACCCCTCAAATGTTTATAATCTGTTAAATTAACATTTGATAATTTATTTCATTTGATTTGCTCATTTCGTTAAAGTAGTCAGATTGCAAAGTTTGCATCATAATATTGGTATTAAAAGTTACACTTGCTTTTTTTCACTGAATTTCCCATGTTAAGGGCTTATTTACTCTCATCAGTGGAATCAGGTAACGTTAGAAGGGTCTTGTCTGGTTCCACTTCTATTTCACAGAAAAATGATCTATAGAAAATGACCTCGTCTAACATACATTTTTCAAATGTAGTAAATCATCTTAGTTTTGTCTTTATTCTAACTGAAAATATCAAAGGTTTTATAGTATTTCTGATTCTTAGACTCAGTCTTAATGACTAATGATGACTGAATAAGAGGGATTCATGTTGAACTACGTATTTTGCTAAAGTCAAGACTGACTAAATATTTTCAACTATAATATTTGTATATCAAACTGTCTATGGATAAAAACCTCAAAAGTAAATTTTAAGTTCCATGGTGGGAATATATACAAATTCAGCACTATAGTGCTTTCTGATTTGTTTTACAGGGACAACCTAAAAATTATTGTCCATTTTTAAAAGATATTTATTGCAGACATTTTGAATACAAGGTCTTACATGTGCAAAGGAAACACTCTACCACTGAGTTACATCTCACCTTATACGTATTATTCAGATGAAGTAGAGAATAATTTCCCCACAAAACTCTGTTTTTCTTTTTTTATCTCATACAGGCCTCCCAATAGGAGAAGGTTAAAAGCTATGTTGGATATAAGTAGAAAGACCCAAACTTTTCATTTAGCTAGGATATCTTTATTTATCTCAAATACTTTTTTCATTTACATAAAAAATGAATGCCAAATAAAGCCTTTTTTTAATTTTCAGATTATCTACTTGTGGATAATATAGTTTTTATTTGACCCTTTCCTCCTCTCATTATTTTATATAATCAATCATTTGTATAGTAAGTCAAGAGAAAGGAAATATTAGAAGATAAACCTTCTCAAAATTTAACTTTCTTTTTACAACAATTTGAATGTGGGAGTTAATTATAACAAATTGTGTTCTTACCATTTTCCCTCCTTTTTAGGCCATAGAAGTATCACATTTATTAGTGTCTACTTAAATTTGTTACATGCTTGATATAATACTGTAATGTTCTAGAATTTAGCTATTTGCACTTTTTATCTAAAATGCTCTGTATTTTAAATTACAAGTTTCAATTTCTTGAGGAATAAAGATACTGTATTAAAAGACACTCAGATTGATGGAATCTCTTTGTTGCCCTTCCCTGGCAGGCCACCATTTGATTGCATGTCAGAATTTTCCAGTCTGAAAAATCATCTCATTAAACATATCACATTACTGAAACATTTCTCTGAACAGGTAAGACATACTTTTGTTGTGCTGTTCTCCATTCATATTCCTATGCATTTATTTATCAAGTCCAGTACATTTATCTTCACTAACACCCATAATATCTTTCTTTTTCTTACCCTCATGTTTCAACACTGAGATGCAGGTCTATATTTTGTTATATAGAATATTCAGTGACCCAGTTGAGTTGCCACCTCAAATCCCTTTCCCATTGTATCAGAATTGGTGCTCTTTTGACTTTATACAGTATTTATCCATTCCAAATGAGATGCCAAGTAACTGAGTCAGAGAAGAAACTGTTTGAGGAGAACCAGAGGTTTGACCAGAGATTTCATTAGTCTTATATAACTATGTGAAAAATGGATATTGTTGGCTATCCAAGCTTCTAGATGGGAGCAGTAATAGGCAACATGTTTGTTAAATCATAAAAGAACTTAATGATACAATATCAAAGATCAGCTTTTAATCAGTGTTATCATTGATGTATTAAGCTGATCTTCCTCTGTATTGAATAAAATCAAAATAAATTCTCTCTAAAGCAAGATAACATCAATATATGCCTCAAATTATCTCCATAACTTCTCATACACAAGGGTCAGTATTAAACAAAGATAAAATAGAAAATAAAATAAATCAATTAATTAAAATTAAGGTTTTTTGTAGATAGTGAAAATAGAGAGGACAATTATTTAGAAGTTATTAAAGAAGGAACTCTTGGTTTTTTTTTTATTTGCCATCCTACAGACCTGAGAATAATGTATCATAACCACACTCCAAGAAATCCTAGAACTTCTATATGTAACTAAGGCCACTTGGAAAATATTTGTTTGGGGGACTCACATTGTCCCCTCAATACGTGAGTGAAGAAACAAAAGGGTTTCATCTAGAGTAAAAGAAGGCAAAGTTTGGCTTAATTTTAGATTCTCAGTGGATGTCATTCAAGCAACAACCAAAAGAAGCAGTCCTTAAGTTCTCAGGTCAAAGTAAGAAATGTAACAAATATACTTACAGTAAACATTAAGTTAGGGGTTACAGATATTAGCAGGAACAAAAAGAAATAGCAAAGAAGTGTGTTCATGCCAGAGAAAGATATGGGAACAGGTGTATTATATCAGATAAAACAAACAGCAATACACTTCTAAGAATAATGAGAAGATGCAGAGCAAGCAGAATGCTGAGGTAGAGAGAAAAGGAAAAGGAAAAAGAAGAATGGAGCATGGAGCAAAGGAGAGGAGACATAGTGGTCCCAGCCAGAGGAGGAGCCCAATTTGATTTTCCTTATTTCTAAAGAAAATTCATCCAAGTCATGGCACCGGAAGATAAGGGAATAAGGGTGTAGTTGGAAGTTTTTTGTGTCCTGCCCACTCTGCAGCCCCTCAGATCCAAGTAAACTTACAGAGGCTTATATTAATTATGAACTGTATGGCCATTACCTCAGGCCTATTACTGACTAGCTCTTACACTTAAATCAATCCATAATTCTTATGTTTAGCCACGTGGCTTGGTACCTTTTCTCAATTCCACCTTGTCATCTTGCTTCCTCTGTGTCTGGCTGGTGACTCCTGTATCAGCCTTCCTCTTCCCAGAATTCTCTTTGTCTGCTTATCCCACCTATACTTCCTGCCTGGCTCCTGACCAATCAGCATTTTATTTATCAACGAATGAGAGCAACACATATTCACAGCATACAGAAAGGCATCCCACAGCACTTACCCATTTCTGTCTAATCAAAAAGGAAATTTTTAATTTTAACATAGTAAAATTACATATAATAAAATAGTTATCAAGCAAGAATCACAATTACAATATATAGTATATTTGTATTTGGCAAAACTGAAGAAAATATTCTATCTATCCTATATTTGTGAGTTTCATATCTAAAGTTTCATATCCAATTTATCTTTTATCATAACCAAGGAAAATTGTAACTATTCTTCAACTACATCAAAGACCTCATAAGAATATAATATTACCTAAGTAAACAGGAAATGCATTGTTAACAACTTCCAAAAATCTAGAATGACAGAGACATAAGGGATGTCTCCAGTTTCTTCTAGTCTCAACACCAGCAGCAGTCTTATTCTTATGCTCTCTAGAGAGAATTCAGAGAAGATACAGTAGTAAAATAATCAGCTGAGAGTTTAGATAGAGCAATCAAGAAAGGAAGAATATAAAAAATAGTGGACCAAACCACAAAAGCCTTGGTCAGGCAGGAAGGGAATTTATATTTCCCTTCTTACTGTAAGCCCTTCCCTTGTACCTCACCCAAAACAAGCACTTGTAGGAAAGGATGTGCTTTTCTCAGAAGCTCATTTTACCCATTATTTGATATGTTACAAGTCGATTATAAGATGCAAAAACATGTATAGGTATTTAAGTATCTGAAAGTTGAAGATTTTACTAAGTGAAATGGTACTGGCACTCTGAATATGCTCCCCCAGATTTGAAATCTTGAACTTGTTTTAATTCGACCTAGCCAGCATAGACTATTATCACTCATTGCCCCTTATATCTGTTTTTTTGACCCTCAGCTGGCCCATCTGGAATTAGCTATCACTGTCTATATTTTGAACTCCAATTGACCATGACCTTTGCCATTATATTTATATCTTATTTCAACACCTTAAGCTTGCCCACACATTGTTCTTTAAGTACTATCTTTGGGCACCTAATTGTCAGTATCTACCAGAACTAACTCCTTACCTAACAAAATGATAAGTGATTTTCCCACCTCATTCTCTTGAGTGTTGGAATATAGTTGTTTACCACCATGTCATGGTAAATTTAAGAATTAATCAAACATTTTGTTTCTTTTTATGGATTTTCTTTACTACTCTGTATCCCTTGTATCTACATATGTATTTTAAGGCCTTCCATTCAAATAAAAAGTGAGTAATTACAATACATTGAATCAGTTGATAAGTTTTGACTTTTTTCTGTCATAACACCATTAATTTTCAAATCCATTTGAACAAGGCAGATCTTTCCACTTATGTATATCTTATGTAATTTATTTCAATAATTTTTGTAGTGCTTGCTAAATAGGTCCTAATACTTCCTTATTAAATTTATGTCCAAGTATTTTATGCCCAAAGCTAGATTAAATGGAATAGTTTTTGTAACTCAAATGAACACTCAAAATGTTCATTGCTATGTTGAAACAGAATTAATTTTGTATACTGATATTTTTATCTTGTAACACTAATTTAAATGTACAGTTTTGGCTTCTTTGTCAAAAATAAGGTATCATAAAGTGTGTGGATAAATGTCAGGATCTTCAATTTGATTCCATTGGTCCACATGTCAGTTTTTATGCCAGTGCCAAACTGTTATTATTATTATTATTACTATTATTATTATTATTATTATTATTATTATTATACTATTATTACTATAGATCTATAGTAGAACTTGAAGTCAGGGATGGTGATGCCTCCAGAAGTTGCTTTATTGTAAAGGATTGTTTTAGATATCCTAGCTTTTCTGTTTTTCCATATGAAGTTGAGTATTCTTTTAAGGTCTGTGAAGAATTATGTTGGGATTTTGATGGGGACTGCATGGTATCTGTATATTGCTTTTGGTAATATTACCATTTTTACTATGTTGGTTCTACCTATTCATGAGCATGGGAGATCTTTCTATTTTCTGATATCTTCTTTAGTTTCTTTCTTTAAGGATTTAAGTTCTTGTCAGACAGGCAGGTCTTTCACTTGTTTGGAGTTTTTATTTCCCTTCTTACAGTAAGCCTTCCCTTGTACCTCACCCAGAATAAGCACTTACAGGAAAGGGGTGTGCTTTTCTCAGAAGCTCATTTTACCCATTAATTGATCTGTTAGAAGTAGATTATAAGATGCAAGAATATGTATAAGGATTAAAGTATCTGGAAGTTGAAGATTTTACTAAGAGAAAGGGTTCTGGCACTCTGAATATGCTCCCCCACATTTGAAACCTTGAATTTGTTTTAATCTGACCTAGCCAGCATAGACTACTATCACCCATTGTGCCTTGTATCTGTTTATGTTGAGGTTTTTGGTCTACTTGGATTTGAGTTCTGTGCATTGCTGTGGGATGTTCTGTATGGCAAATTGCTCTGATTGGTCAATAAATAAAATACTGATTGGCCAGTGGCTAGGCAGGAAGTATAGGTGGGACAAGGAGGAGAATAAAGCTGGGAAGTGGAAGGCTGAGTCAGAGACACTGCCAGTCGCCACGATGACAAATAGCATGTGAAGATGCTGGTAAGCCACGAGCCATGTGGCAAGGTATAGATTTATGGAAATGGATTAATTTAAGCTCTAAGAACAGTTAGCAAGAAGCCTGCCACGGCCATATAGTTTGTAACCAATATAAGTCTCTGTGTTTACTTGGTTGGGTCTGAGTGGCTGTGGGACTGGCAGGTGAGAGAGATTTGGCCTGACCATGGGCCAGGCAGGAAAACTCTAGCTACAGTGTATGGCAATAGAAATGGATCTATTTTTAATCTTCTACATGTTGACATCCAGTTATGCCAGCACCATTTGTTGAAGATGTGTAACTTTATTCACCTCCTTGTCCCGCCTACACTTCCTGCCTAGCCAATGGCCAATCTGTTTTATTTATTGACTAATTAGCAACACATTTGCCATACAGAATATCCCACAGCACTTACCCCTTTTTCTTTCAAAAAGGAAGGTTTTAACCTTAACAAAGTAAAATTACATATAATTTGGGAATTTGGGCGTAGCTTCTCTTACTACTTCCTGCTGGAGGGGGGCGCTGTATCTTATGGGGACACAAAGAAAATTTTAGGATTATGGAATAGTCCATGAAGCTGTATTGTCTGAGCCAGTTGCCTTCAAACCATTTTGGATGTTGGATCATCTGGGCCATGGTGTCATCGGAGACCTTTCAGGGGGTCTTGGCTAGTCAAACCAGATGTATCTTAATCTGGAGCAAATCCATAGCCTCTGGCTTTCTGTGGGAACAAAAGCAGAGTCTCCTTTCCAAAGCAACATATCCTTATATTCAAA